GTGTCGTGGCATGAAAGAAAGCTGCAAAGGGACTGGCTTGTGTTGGTCCTTCACGACTCCCTGGTTGGGGTCTGAGAGATGGTGCTACACAGTGGCTACAGATGTTATCAGATATGGCTCAGAATAGAAGCCAGTGGCGATCCTGCTGTAACCTTCCTTTACTTTCTTCATAAAAAGTGGTTGTGTCTCCTTTACCTGAAAGATTTCTTCTGATTGTACCTTTTCGTTCCGTCGTTACTACCACACTACCTTACTGCAATCTCTTCGTCATTGTTCTCTTTTTCTTTTGCGCTCCTTGGCTTTTTTTGTTTCTATTTCTCTTCGAATTCTCATTGTTTTGTGTGGCGCATATGTATTGGCGCTCTCTTGTACTAATATTCATGTGTTCAAATAAATAAATAAATAAAATTTCAACAGGTAAGAACAGAACCAAGAGCAAATGAATATGGAAACCGTTTAGTTTAAACGAAGACCAAATGACTATAGAAAACTGAGAATAACCGCTACAGGGATTGAGAGAAAGTATAATTATAATGATAAATACAATAAATGTTATAAGTATATGTAAATACTTTAAAATATTGCACGACAAACTTGTGCAACAACATATGCTTAGAAATTGCTAGGAATACAACTGTTTACTGAATAATAGTAATAAGTAGTATCAAACAATATACAAAAAAGAATTGACAGGAAGATAGTAAGGACAGAGAATGTAAACCAACTTAACAGATATTTGGAGTACATCTTAAATCAAATGAAATCAGTGTACTGATTGTTTTAAGTTTTAAAAAGTCATTCATGTTTATATTTATAGAATCTGCTGTTTGGTATTTATATCGTCTTCAATAAGTATCTTCTTTCAAATACAAAATAACACATTGCTTCCAGAGATTTTGAAGTCAAGCATGGTAATAATGATGTATTAAAACAAAGAAGACCAGAAAAATCTAAACTAGAACAGTAGTGTAGACCAATTGGATGTATGACTGTATGGTATGTTTTGGTTATCATGATATTACTACAAAATTATTGAGAAAACCTGAGTCATTCTAGTTACATGAAACTGCATTTGCAGAACTGAGCTTTCCAAATAGTTTGTCTTCTATCTATGTTCAATCGAACTAATCAAGTGCTAGGTGAATATGGTAATAACTTAACCATAATGGGAATCATATACCGATAATTACCAACTATACTAATTGTTGTTCCGCAAGTTTATCGTATAATATTCGAAAGTATTTACATATTACTTACTTCCAATGGAGCATAGGCCGCCGTCCAGCATTCACCAACCCAATCTGTCCCCAGTCTACCTTTCTAGTTCTATCCAATTGTTCTTCGTTCTTCTCATAGCTGTCTCCATTTCTCGATGAAATGTGTTCTTTGCTCTTCCTCTCCGTCTTTGGTCTTCCGGATTCCATGTGATGGCAACCTTGTCTGACACCGGTCTTTACTTCGAACGACCTTGTCAACTGTCCTCAGTGCACGATTTTGCAGTTTAATCAATCTTTATTATATTGACTATCTTCTCAGGTAAGCCGTAGTGTCAAAGAAGTCTCCATAGTGTTGTTCTGTCCACGCTATCAAATGCCTTTTCGTAGTCAATGAAGTTGATATAGAGTGATGAATTCCATTCAGTTGATTGTTCCACAATGATCCGTGGTGTTGCGACTTGGTCTGTACAGGATCTATCCTTACAGAATCCTGCTTGTTGGTCTCGAAGTTTGGCATCTACGGAGTCCTTCATCCTGTTTAACAATACGCTGTTGAAGACTTTTCCTGGTATTGAGAGAAGAGTGATGTCCTTGTAGTTATCACACTTGCTGAGATCACCTTTCGGTATTTTGACCAGAAGTCCTTCTTCCCAGTCATTTGGTACTTGTTCCTCATCCCAAATCTTATTGAAGAGAATATGGAGTATCCTTGCAGTTGCCTCTACGTCTGCTTTCAGTGCCTCTGCTGGAATGCTGTCTGGTCCTGCTGCTTTGCCACTCTTGGTTTGTCTGATGGCCATACTGATCTCTTCAATTGTTGGTGGGCCAACATTGATTGGGAGGTCCGTGGGTGCTGCTTCGATGTTGGGTGGGTTCAGTGGGGTTGGTCGATTCAAGAGTCCTTTGAAGTGTTCTACCCACCTGTTTTTCTGTTCTTTAATGTTGATGATTACTTTGTCCTCCTTGCTTTTCACTGGTCGTTCTGGTTTACGATGATTTCCAGAGAGTTTCTTTGTTGTGTCATACAGTTCTCTCATGTTTCCTTCTCTTACAGCCTTTCCCGCCGTCATTGCTAAATCTTCCACATATTTACGTTTGTCGGTTCTGATGCTCCTCTTCACTTGCTTGTTTAATAACTTACATATACTTTTGACATTTATTGTATTTGTCACTAAGCTAGCATCTTATAAAGAAAACGCTTCTTAGAAATTATTTTTTATTTCTGTATTTATTCGCATTTATCATGATATTGATAACCTCTCAGCTGAAATATTCCTTTTCTGGGAAACTTAAACCACAGGTAGGAATGTCAAGTCGCATGATAAATAATCTGTTACAAACGGATTGTAGGATCTTTCACTCAATGATACGAGTTCCGATTCGGCAAGTACTACGTATGCAGCTAGGAAGTATCTATTGCGTTCCAAAGTATGCTACCAATCTTAGTTAGTTGTGATATCTTGACTACCATTACTATCTACGTTCTGAAGCTTAAAACTAGCGACTAGGGCCTGATAATACTTAGAAGTTGATTTATGCATTTAATAATACATTCACCAGAGATTTAAAATATTTTCAACAATTCATTGAGTTACTGAAATATTATTTAAGTAGTCTCATACTTTGAGAGGATGATGTCTAGCAGTGGAATCCATGACGCGAGTTTCGTCCTATTTGGAACTTGTCAGCTAGATGCACCTACACCTGAAAGTTGGTGTCCACTCCGGGGCTCGAACCTGATACCGACAGCTAGGCGTATAATGTGATGATGTCCGAAGCAAACGACACTGGGTCCGAGTCCTTAATAGGACGAAACGTGTGTCCTGGATTCCACTGCTAGGCATCATCATCTCTGATTACAATGTTTGTGACATAAGGCAATTCTCAAAGAATGCGCGTTTTTCAATAAAATAGTGATCTATTGCAGTCCTAAACATCAATGGGAAGATTCAAATAACTAATACGAAGCAAAATTAAGTCTCATACTTAATTACAATAACATAAGTAGTTCGAAAAAGTGCAAATTCCTGCCTGAAGACTTTTATCTGTAAACAACATGCACTATGCTACTGGGTAACCTAACTTGGTAGTCACGATACAAACTAAATGACCGGAATTCAATCACCAATAATCTTCAGTTCGCTATGTTAGCATCTAATAATTGATATTTCCATGTTCAGTCAATTAGAGATATCTCTTACAACCATATTATTTTCTGAAGTAAACAAATCATTTTAATGTGTATTTGGTAGTTGGTTCTTAGCTGTATGTACTATTTTAATGTCTTGGAAATTTTATTTAGCTTTAAACTATCAAATCGAAAGCTATATTTTGAAAATATGCACACAACTAAACAATAGTTTGATCTCGTTTGATTTAGATGTGAGATTTCCATGATCAGGTTGCAGACTCCATTTAAATCAATATCAGTTGGGACTAAAGTATATGAAATTGAACGAATAGAAACACTTACGAAAGCTAAACAAATATAATAGATATCTGATATTTCGGTTCATTTAAAAGGATAGAATGACAAAATTATTCATAAAACATAGCCACAGTTTATTATCAAGGGTAACTGATACGAACCAGCTGTGCAAACCGAAATAAGTGGAGCGAGACTCATTTATGACTTTGTGGCTGAAAGTAAGAAACCTAGGCCACTACTTCACTAAATGAGGTGTTTCTATTCAACGGTTAATAGTAATTTGGATTTTGGGTAGCCACGTAGTTGAAGACACGCGTTTTATTCCACTTGGGATTTATCAGTGTAATGTAGCTATTTCCAAACGGGACTCGAACCTAGAACCTCCAATTCAAACCCCGTAGTTATTTGTAAACTTTAATCATTCAGCAAAGGAATTAAAGTGATAATAGCAATCGTGAGTATTTGGTTAGACACCAACCTACCATGGTGTAGTGTCGGTTATTATGTTAAGTCCATATACCTTATTCTACGTTTCGGACAGCCCATTCTATTCATTCTACTTAAGTCACATTCTAACCTTGTAAATTATTCGCTTATCAATCTTGACTGTTTTTATATGAGCAAGTAGGTGTGTGTACACTTCTTATCCCATTATTCATCACATGTCTGTAACTTGCTTTTGTGTAACCATAAATATTGATTAACGCTTGGTTAAAGGGGAGTTGGATTACCAGCCATCTCCACTCTGAGTCCTTCCTCTTCTCTCTATTCCATTCGCTTTATATACAAAATATGTGAATTCATAAGTCCATTCTCGTTGTTCGACTTATTTAATTCCGTTATTGACTAACGCGATTTAAGTCGATGATTATATACGAGGATAGGCGATAACAAACATTCATACGATCTACTTGGAGTCTGATCTCGGGCCACTAAAGTGGAGAGTCTTTTCGACAACATCGTTCGATCTAAATGACAACACAAAATAAAGGGCCCAACTAAAACGGTTTATCAGACTAACTAGATAAGTACAGTTGTCAGTACACTATCACTTCACTACCTCTGACAGGACTAAACGTTGACACATACCAGTCTTGAAGTGAAATTTTGTACTTAAAGAAAGATAAACGCATTCCAAAAATTATTTTATTGTTACTCAAGGTATTCAGCAGACCATGAATTTTTTCTGGATTCTCAATAAACAGGTCAATCTTATCTTAAAGCTAAAAACTGGTTCTCCGGGTAGAAAGTTAATCTTTCAAAAGTTAGATAAAGAAAATGTTATTCCTAACTCCATGTCAACAACGAAGTGAGAACAAAAACGTAGAAAGTGAATTATTAAGAAATTATAAAACATAACTATATATTTTAAACTTTAATTACAATGTTACTAAGACATTGAAAAAGCTACTTTACATACAAAAGATACAATCTCTGTACAACATTTGAATGTTTAGATCAATCAGTCAATATGATGAATTTACTGTGATATGTCCAATAGGTGGGGGTTAATGATACAATGATGGGAGAAAATTCCCCTCTCCCCTTCCCGACTAAATATCTGAATTTATTACAAAAATAAGTTTTAAAAAAATCAATAATCTAGTCACTTTCAACAAAATTGTGGTCTCGGTATAAAATTTGTTGTTGATTCACAAAAACTTGAACGAGATGTACGTTTATGAAGTAATGAATTTGATTGTATATTTGGATATTTTAATGGTATACTAGAATGTCGTTGAGTTTTAGTATTACAAAAATATGGATGACGAAGTGCATCATGAGCAGTAATACGTTTCTGTGGGCATGGTTCTAATAGACGAGCTAATAGATCATAAGCTGAAGTGGGAAAAATATGCGTTGAAGATAAAGCAATCACTGGTTTTCCATTAGATAATTCTGTAGTTTGTGCAGAATTATCATTAGTTAAATTAGTTGACTTTATTGTAGTTTTACGTAATAAAGGAGGTAGACCAGCAAATTTTTTCTCGTATAATCTAATTGCAGAACATCTACAAGAAATCATAATTAATAGGACGATATCAAATCTGAAATATTCACTCATACAATCAAGTTTATGATTATTCAAATGATTATGTAAGGGGTAAAGGGAAGAGAAAGTATGAATGAATAATAATAGTATGTAAGAAATCAATAAGATACATATGACAAAGACAATGTAGGGTCTAATTTAATGATAAAAAGGGGATGACAAAAATCCTACTCACTGAAATTCAGGTTTCTGTGTAACAGTACTCTTAAATATCACGGAGAAAAATAAACTGGAAAAAAGGACATCAAAGGAAGTAATCTCTTACAGAGAATCAATATAATATGAATATAATTGTAGCACCGAAAATAGTTATGTCACTTCCACGAACACCCCCTTTGTCACATTTCAATATGTTGATAACTTCAATTGTTCATCGAAAACTTTATATATCACTTAGGCCTACAACAAGGGTCATTAAAGTTTGTTATCTTGATATAGCTTCACAAAAATTTGTCTCCGTCAATATATTTTTCAGAGCTGATCGAAAATACCCTTAATTGGAACAAACCGAGAAATTAGTTGGTCACTTTATTCAGTGGTCTAATATTTAATTTCAGAGTTGCTCAAATGTCCGCTCTAATAGTTACCGGCAATTGCATATAAGCTCACAATCTGACTGTCTGTAACATTATGATAGAGAAGTTCATCAGTTAAGGGTAAAAGATTTTGAGTCCACCTAGGGGAGTTGGAAAACCCTGATTCCAAACCAACGGTGCACATAGACTCCAGTACCCTGAGGGAATAAATGGTATGTGAACCAATCGTTGGTCACCGGCTACCATGGGACTGCATCTCCTTACGATGCTCCACTGCCTTGTGGATCAAACCAGCGAGACTCTAATTTACGGACGAGCCAATCAGAAGCGTCTTAGAGACTTCAAGGTTACGGCGTCAACTTCAATGCTCAATGCCAACATACGATCGGTTCACAGGGAATTTTGCACAAAACGTGATAATTGAGCGGCTATAACAAATGAAACGGTGAGACTATAATTTGTGGACGAATCAGTCATGTATAAGATAACAAATCTCAGATTTTAACGCGAAAGCCTTTCATTCATTTGGCTAAATAAATTTCTGGCATTATAGCTTATGTCAGTTCGTGATGAAAACCCCATATATAATTCTTAACTAAGGCAAATTATGACAATTATCGTGAACTGGACAATAAAAGCACCAGTAACACTGGCTACAGCCAGGTACTGCAATATATACGGGTGTTTGGAGAGCATACAGACTCCTACATAGGCTTGGTTATGTGCATCGTGTCGATATCCACAAGTAGGATTTTGTGTACTCAACAACCGGAGTGCACATAAACAATATTGAAGGTATGTGGTCGAGGCTGAGAGTTTTTGAGACTTTATCATGGTTCCAGAGGTCGACTATTCTGTAGCCATATGGATGATTTCCTCTACTGCATGCACTACGATTTTAGAACCTCTGAACCTCTTTCTAAACTTGAAAAGTTTTTGAACCACGTATAAGAAGTGTATCCACTTTATTTCCTTGGTTTCGTATGATATATTTTTACTCTATACTGATTGTTTGCTGATTGACTAATATTCCTCAAGGTCACTTAAGATTCATTCAAAGGTCGTCCATAAATTAGAGTCTCGTCGTATCACAGCCCTCACACAAATCTAATGAGATTTGTGTGGCGCATATGTATCTGATGCCCCCTTGTACCAATAACTATGTGTTTACAGAGACAACTAAGAAATTGATGCTTAAATATTTACTCAAACAACTCATAAATGCAAGTTGGATTGTAAGATAGATAAGTGTGAACATAAAGTTCAATTATCAACCAGATATATCTAAACCTTACTACAACTGAGAATATTTAAGTTTACACATGAACATATCCAACGAAAACTAACTATTCAAAGTAAAACTAGTGCAATGAATGAAAGCTTCATACACTCCATTATTTAAGAAAGTAACGAAAGGTCTATCTAAAGGTTTTTTATTCAACCAGGTCATTATAATTACAATGGTAGTTGAAAAAATGGGTGATTGTACCTCAGGGGGAATATGGATCTGGTATGAAAATCATACACAATGATGTTGATTTTTACGATGAAACCTGGATCCAGTACCTATAGCTTTAAAAACAGTTAACAGATACATACAAAGTGTCCCGAATAGGACGAAACACGTGATTTGGATTCCACTACTAGATACAATACAAAAACACAATTATCATTCAGTGTTCTAATTTTTTCCTACAACAATGTAATTTTCATGTTGTCATTTTTAAAAAAGAATATTATTTTGTTAAAAGTGAAGCACTTTTCTTCACCGACTAGTAGATGAAAACCATCATACTTCTTTTAAATATCAACCTTTACATCTACGCATGTAAACAACTAATACAGATTATGCTGAGGTGGCATGGAAATAATTGTGTATCTTTAGTCACATAAATCAGCGGTTAGACAGACTATCTGGTTCGAGCAGAATCTCCAACAAGATGCATCGAAAGATAATTGATCATTTGTGTTTTATTCATCCACTTAGAGGCTAATCTTGAATGATAGGAATATAATATGATCAACGATACGATTATAAAGAAGACTTTAGATAAGTGTTACTATCCGAAGTTACAGAACAATAAACTGAACGTAAAATGGATTACCACAAGTAAAATACTGCAAATAAATTCGCATATTACCTTGTTTTAAGCCAGACAATAGGTGAATCACTAGCTTCCATAGGTGGTGGTCTAGGATCAAGTAACAGTCTCCTACCAATGCTTCTGGCACCCATTTGCATGCGTTCATATCCAATTAGATGAGTGAAAGCATGAAGTACATCCAAATCATCGTCTACTTTTATAAAAGGATAACGACCAGAAAGGAAAGAAATAAATATAATTCCAACAGCCCAGATATCAACAGCAGTTGTTTGTTCTATATGACGCATCATTACTTCCGGAGGTCTAAAGCCAAGTGTTCCGCCTCTACGAACAGTTGGTGCTCGAGGTAAATGTCGACAACCACGACATACAGTGAGACGTGAACCACAAACACATCCTCCTTGTCCTAAAGATTGTGTTAGGTTACTTGATATTTGTTGAGAGGATTTGATAGATGCACCTTTAAATGATGATTTGTTATCAATTTTTGAAGAATTACAATTATAAGCGAATAATGAGTTTGTAGAATCCATGGAATCTCGTTTATGAGTATAACTGTTTTCTCTGTTTGCTACATTTACACGCTGGTTATTCTCTGATATGTTAAGATTTGTCTACAGAAAAAACAAACAGATTATATGATAGTCGCAACTAAAACTTGATTCATGAAATAAACAGTATGGTAGGACAATTTTGTCAAGAGCTTCATTTAACAAGTGGCTTTGAATACGCTGAGTTACTAAACTTTAAGCTACGTTTGTTCTATGGAAGCGAATGATTATTTATTTATTTGAACACATGAATATTGGTACAAGAGAGCGCCAATACATATGCGCCACACAAAACAATGAGAATTCGAAGAGAAATAGAAACAAAAAAAGCTAAGGAGCGCAAAAAAAAGAGAACAATAACGAGGAGATTGGTGTAAGGTAGTATGGTAGAAATGAGGGAACGGAAAGGAACAATCAGAAGAAATCTTTCAGGTAAGGGAGACACAACCACTTTTTATGAAGAAAGTAAAAGAAGGTTACAGCAGGATCGCCACTGGCTTCTATTCTGAGCCATATCTGATAACGTCTCTAGCCACTGTGTAGCACCATCTCTCAGACCCCAACCAGGGAGTCGTGAAGGACCAACACAAGCCAGTCCCTTTGCAGCTTTCTTTCATGCCACGACACCATGTCATGCACTGACCACCTCTCCGCTTCTTCCAACCAGTCTCAGAGTCGGCAAATAATGCACGACGTGGAATTCTCTGGGACGACATTCGGAGAACATGTTCAAGCCACCGAAGTCGGTGTTTCAAGACGGTGACACCAATTGAATTATAATCTCTGTGCCCGAACACACGATGCCGAACCTCTGCATTACTGACATGGTGTTGCCACTGAATGTCAGCAATCCTTCGAAGACACTGATGATCGAACACAGAGTCGTCTAACGTCCTCAACTCGGAGAGACCAGGTTTCACAAGCTTAGAGCAAAACTGCTCTCACCGACGCGTTGTAGATCCGAACTTTTACAGCCAGACTGACATCACGAAGGCGCCAAAGATGGCTCAGATTGGCATAAGCTGCTCTGGCTTTCACTATACGTGCATTGATCTCATCACTCACACCCCCACCAGCACTTATGCAGCTACCCAGATACGCGAACTTCTCGATTACGTCTATCTGCTCACCATCCAGGGTGAGTCCAGGATTGGAATCCTGCCAGTCTTGTAGAAGTACTTCGCACTTCGAAGGTGCAAAGCACATACCATACCTACGGACACTGATTGCCAACTGATTAAGTGCGGATTGCATGCCTTGGGCATTATCGCACAGTAAGACAATATCGTCCGCATACTCAAGGTCGAGAAGTCTTTCTCCAGGCAACAGATCCACACCACCATTACTTACATTCATCAGAGCTGTTTCCAGAATGTCGTCGATGGCAAAGTTGAAGAGGAATGGTGATATTGGGCAACCCTGCCTAACCCCACTGCTCGAATGGAACAATGGAGAGAGGTGGTTGTATGCTCTCCTTCTGCCCGAGGTGTTTGTATATAGGGCTTTAAGATGTTGATAAACTCCTCAGACACACCCTTCTTCAATAGACAATCCCAGAGAACAGTCCTATCCAACGAATCGAAGGCAGCCCTGATGTCAAGAAACACTACGATTGTTCGCCTTTGAAAAGTATGGCGGTGTTCTAACATTTGGCAGAGGGTAAAGATATGATCAATACATTCTCGACCAGAACGAAACCCAGCCTGCTCCTCGCGAGTCAATCTTTCTCGGGTTTTGAACACCCTACGAAGTATGACGGAAGCCAATAGCTTGGACGCAATCGGAAGTAGACTTATCCCCCGATAGTTGTTACAGGAACGACGTGAACCCTTTTTAAGGATAGGGACAACTATCGACTCATTCCATGACGTTGGTACACTCTCTAGTTCCCAAACCTTTGTAAACAACGTCGTCAATTCCTTAGTCAAAAAGTCACCACCATCTTTAAAAAGAGCCGGAGGTAAGTCATCTGGGCCAGGTGATTTGTAACGCTTCAAGAGTTGGAATTCCTTGTGGACTTCCTCCTCGTTTGGTGGATCAGTCGTCACCGGCCATGGAGGGCAGGACAGTATGACCGATGTTGCCGGAGCAGCAGGCCAGTTGAACTGCCCTTCGAAAAATTCTGCCCATCGTCCAAGACGTCGATGGATGTTAGTGATTGGCATCTCATCATCCTCGCAGATTGTTTCACTCACACCAGACTTCTTGCTGCCAGTGGCTCGGATGAGTTGGAAGAGCTTCCGGTAGTTATCAGATGCAGTTGCTGCTTCCAGCTCATTAGCACGCTTCGACCACCAGGCTTCTCGGTCCTTACGCAAGCTTTGCCCGATTTCCTTACGTAACACCCTCCGTTTATGGTCAGACTCACGGTCATCCGGAATAGACCGACGGGCTTCAATGAGTTGTAAGGAGCCTGAAGAAACCCAGTGCTTATAAGCGGGACGTTTGGCGAACCCTAGCCTAGAGGCTAGCTCGGTTCGATACTTACTTGCAACAGAAGTTGAGACCAGCTGGCTAATACCAATCCGTTGATGGCGGTCACTTCGTTGTCCACTGAAAAGTAAGGCAAGATTGGCGCGGACCAAGGCATGGCCAGAGTCCAGATAGGTACTCCAAAAGGAGCGGCAGTCCTGTACACAACCACGCCAGCGGTAGCTGATCATGATGTGATCAATCTGAGTCCAGGCTTGAGATGCAGAGGGAGGACGCCAGGTGGCACATCGGCGATGACTGTGCCGAAAGTTAGTGCTAGCCAGAAACAGGTTGTGTTCTGTGCAAAGTTGCAGTAGACGGTCCCCGCTATCTGACCTGCGACCAACGAGTCCCCATCGGCCACCTAAACGACTCTCTTCTGTGCCTAGACGCCCGACCTGAGCATTCAAGTCTCCGGCTAGTACTACAGTATCTGTCGAACGCACTTTCTGGAGAAGAACAGATAACTGGTGGTAAAACTCATCCTTGATTGCATCCGGGCTGCAATCTGTCGGGGCATAGGCGGAGATGACGAAAAGACATCGTTTCTCACGCCGATTTCTTCTCACTTTGATGGAACTTTCTAATCTAACAGCACATAACCGACTGTTAATGGGGATCCAATCGACTAGTGCTGCCTCAGCTCTAGCGCTTAGTGCGACACCAACGCCAGCAAGACCAGACGAAGATGCCACAGGGTCCCCGGATAAGCGCACGTAAAACAAGCTTTTTGAAGTGACAGATGTAGAGTGAATTTGTAGTACTTCACCAAGTCTTGAATATGGGTCTCGGATAGACAGCAGACATCGATATGAAGACCTTCCAAAGACATAGCCAGCCCTATCTGTTGTCCGACCTGCATAAGTGTGCGAACGTTGAAGGCAGCCAGTTTGAATGGCGCACGTGGTTTCAGAAAAACTGCTTCAGTACTCATATTCGGTGGTAACATACAATTTTCAACCGGACAGTGACACGAGAACGTTTAGATACAGTCGAATTTCCACCAAAGACGAGCCATTGTATAAGTATAAAAGAGGGTGAATAATGTGGAAAATAATAATAATAACAGTAATAATAATAATAATAATAATAATAATAATAATAATAATAATAATAATAATAATAATAATAATGACAATAATAATAATAATGGTATTAATAATGACAATAATTGTAATCATAATAATTTGAATCATTTGATTGTTTTTCGAAGCGAGGAAATTAATTTCCATAGACATAGAGAGTTCATCATTTGTGTGTGGGCTGTGATACAGCCCGGGTGCCCAAACCGAAGCAGGTGGTTATCTTGGGGGGCCACTCCCCGAGCCTTTGACCTAAAGGTCTAACCCACAAGGCAGTGGAGCATCGTAAGGAGATGCAATCCCATGGTAGCCGGTGACCAACGAGTGGTTCATACGCCATTTGTTCCTTTAGGATACTGGAGCCAATGTGCACCATTGGTTTGTGATCCGGTTAAAGCGCCGGACATTCGCTTTTCGTCCTCTCATTTTCGTAAACAACACCCCCGCCGCGAGAAGGTAATGAGTAGGACTTCCCTGGCAGAGGCTGTATACGCGCGGCCGTGTGAGAGTATTTCGAGAGGGAGAGCGGACTCTCCCCACTCTCGGCCGTACCAGGGCATTAGGGGGAAGCGAATGATACTAGGCGATGTGACTTGGGGCCTGACATATTGTTACTAGGACCAGAAAGAGAACACCAAACGAACCTTCTAGAAGTTGGCAAAAAGAGATTGATTAAATAATAGTTCTTTCTGATTTAGATAGTCGTTAGTTATTGATAGAGAGTGGTCTGGAAAATCGATAACTAACTACCACGTAGGGAGTCCGGACATTCGTCATACAGAATATCCCGAGTATCCTTTAGATATACAACTACCATCAAATTTAAGCTGTCTGGCCTGAAATTATTAATCACTGATTGTGTCACGCACCCTACTAGGAATTCTGTACCTACTTAGATGGTTTGAACAAAGAAGCAAGGACTCCATAAGCCAATGTCACGCTTTGACCTGCACACTTATTTTTTTCTAAACTACTATGCTAGCCATTACAGTATTCCGAAATAAGCGGCGGGTGATTAGACATAACGCATATTTCAGTCATCTCAGGAGACGAATATCTAAATTTTTTTATTAATATAATGCTTGATTTTGTCCTCACTTTAGGATCTTTATACAAAAAAATTTTGAAGCTACTTAAAGGACCTGAGACAGGATTTCGTTGACCCTCTATGAATTTTGAAATAAATGACTAACCAATTCAATTAGAGACTCAAGAAACGGTTATTACGTCATCGCAGAAACTAATTTTGTGTAATATTAAAACCATAGTTAAAACGAAATCTTATTTCTTACCCGAGAAAAACTTGAAACTCTTTTCATTAATTCATTTTTCTTTGTACCTGAATCAGAGTTGATTTCAAATTTGCGCTCCCATCTTTCATCAATATCACCAAACTCTTCAGAATGTGCCAGACCAAAATCTACGAGAAAAAATCTAGATTATATGCCAGTTAAACAGACAAATTTTTACTGTTTCGTTTTTTGATCCATAAGAAAGTTTGTAGGCTTTACATCACGGTGAATTACTTTGTATTTATGAACATGAGCTAAAGCTGAGAGGAGTGCGCGCATATATCGTCTGATTTCTTTCTCATCTGCAGTTAGATAATAGTCCTCACAAGAAAAAATGAAGCATAAGAAATAAATATTTCTTAGCCTACTGTGAAAGGGATGTAATCAATAAAAGGCATTAAGATGAACACATGATCACGAATCCGCATTGCTGTATGCATTTGAATTACATTATGTTTACCACTGAAAGTATTTTATTGTATAAATGAGTAAACATATATTACCCCAATCTTCTCAGAATACGAATTTCATTCTCAATTCTACGAACATCGACTGTTGGGATAATCATTTTCAAAGCATAATATTTGGATTCATCAGGATCTTGTTTACTTTTGACTGCTAAGACAGAGGCAAATGTACCCTGCCCTTGTCGTTCAGAGACATCGAATAGGTCTGTAATTTGAGGGAACTCAAAAATATACTGCAAGCTTCGGACTTTGCTTTCAATCATTCCAAGAATATCTAAAACAGATATTTTCAAAAAATCAAGTTTAAAAGACATAACTGTACTAGGAAATCACTTACACATAAGCGGTAAAGAGGGTTCACTTGTGCCGTCAGGCATTCACGGATGTAACAAACTAATCTGGAAGTCTCCAAGTACATGTTTATGTTCTCAGATTCAAGGCACACGTTTTCATCACCATTGATGATGCATGCGTTGCTCAAGTCAAAGAACGAGTGCGGGGCCCAAATACACAACGTAGTGGTTAAAGGCCGACTGATTTACCTATTAAACTATATGAACTTTAAATCGAAGAGGACAGTAGGAACTAACGTCAGTGTAATGTGAAGGACTAAACGGAGTATTTATGTTTCGTGGTTTACTCACTGTCTTCAGTAATGGTGCACATTCGTTGTAACAGTATGATAAACAATCCAATAACACACAACTCAAAGGTTTCGGGTTAGTCACTCAGTTACCAACTGATGATGTAGCTATACCAAGATGAGATATCAATATATATATACATATATATATGATTAGGAGCATAAATAAACAAGGTTGTTACTACACAAGTCTTTATTACTAGTTAGCTGCAAAGAAAAAGTATGGTATATTGGAGGCTCTGAGCTAACCGATCAAAATTAAGATAACACCTCAAGTATATCGTGAGAAATTGCAAATGTAATAGTAGATAACTAGCATTTTAATATTAACTAAGTAATATTGACAATGGTTTAGTCATAAAATGTTTCCAACCACAAAGTCCACGTTAAGTGGTGGTTGAGCAAAATAACAGGACACACCTGCTCCTAAGATGAAATATGTGCTGAAGTACTTGATGTGATACAGTGTTTAGTCAAGAGAGTTTAGATAAAGATAGGTGATAACTTTCCTTTACTACTCTTGCTCTGAATTTCAAGCCCGTTGTTCTTTTCAATTGAAGAGTGAAAAAGCACTTCATTGTAGCTGTTATAGACTTATTACGAGAACACGGATACTAACGTTTAAAACCAACAAAAAGCCACATTTTAATCCTTAATATCTGACTACAACAATTTTAAGTGACAACTGATGTCATTGAGAGTCAGTGACCAAAACTCTGTAGGGTGATCAATCTAAACAACAGCGCTAGTCCGAGTTCTAATATGCAAACCTGACTTATGTCTTTTACTATAACGGATAATTTGACATGTGAGAGTTAATTATTTAGATCAAAACTGCTATTCTACTATTATATTTATTTATTTATTTAAACACATAAACATTGGTATAAAGAGGCACCAGATAGATATGCACCACATAAATCATTCGATTTATGTGAGGGCTGGGATACTGCTCGGTGCCAAAACCGATGAACGTTATAACACTAAATTATATATATATATATATACCACCAATTTACATTGTCAATTGTTATATAACTAGGTAGCGTTTCCTAACAAGGCTGATAAGTCGCCCTAGGTCATCAGGATAGTACACTTCAACCAGTAAGATTAAGCCATAAGCTCTTCAAGCATATCGAACAAGAACAGAAAACACAGATCTGAAAGAAGTTAAGCCTGTGACAAATGCTACCGTCCTTTTGAAAAATGCACTTACGCCGAGTAAAAGAAGTGACTTGTAACAACTAGCAACACTAATAGAGTCTAGTGTATTGATTCGTGTCAAGCCAGAGGGTACTTTGTGTATAAAAGGAGCATGCAGTGTAGCATTAAAGCTGGAGATGAAAACATAAGAAAAGGTGGGTCGATGACCCAGTAAGCGCGCACAATGCACTTGCTTCTTACTAGGGAGAGAAATGAACAACAACTAGAAATAACACAAGCCTCATATTAAAACAAACTTAGAATCAAAACTAGAACCAAGAGATCCAACCCGTTACACAAGTTAAGTTCAAATTGACTCTTTTCAGTGAGCGGTTAACCTCAAGGTGTAACGCAGTTATTTACTTTCGTAAAACAGGTGGTTGGGTTCAAAAGGTTTTAGACTTTATATTCTGTTAGATGGGAATAGTGGCACTCAGAGTGATCTCCTTGATTCTAATAGAATTAAAGTTAATATCACACGTGTCAGGCAAGAGTCCAAATCTGCTCTGGCTTTTCTGAAAAGTGAGATAAAGTGCGTAGACTGGAGTCATAATTGTAGCGGTAAATAAATCTCCAAAATCAATAGCTCTGTAAGTCTTCAAAATTTGGTGATGACTGCATTAGTTTTAACGAACTCACCTGGCTGAATGCGCTCGGTCATGCGTCTGCTCTAGATCACGAGTGAGTACACCGTGCTTCTCTTTCCCTACAACCACTAACCAGCTTAGACTAGTCACTTCTCGGTATACCGATATTCTATTAGACTAATCTTTGAGCCTCTTTACTTCTGACCTCTGATTTTACAGGTTTATCGCGTTCCGATTAAAAATGGTGTTACTTGTTTAGTTGTTGTCAAACTCCAAATACTTGTAGTATTTATCTATTCATCGTTCTCAATCCATCTTTTATGTCGTACCTGAGCCTTATGGTCATTTTTCCTCTGTATGTTCAACAGTTTATAGTTTTACGTTAAATCGTAGCGCGTACGTGTTCCAACGTCCATTACACGTGCGGCACGAGGCATCTTCAGGACTTTTTCCGTTCATTCAGTGGGCGAGTCTTGCATGTTAAAGCAGAATTTCCACATTAAATTCTGCTTCAGGCCCCAACTCTCACTTTGCACTATTTGTTCGTTTGGTTAGTTGGGAGGTGCTACAGCTTCGTGTTCAATAATCGATAGAAGCATAATGCTTGGGATGAGTAGTTTCCAAATGGTTCCAGTGGTTGTTGATGGAGTAGAAGAAACTTTCACTTAACTCAGTAGTGATGACCCTAAGAAGTGCCCAGCCAGACGTTTAAACACAATGCGTTTGTCGTTCGTAAACACTCTTCTAATAAATTGCTATGTTCAGCAGCTTCCGGTCGTCTTTTCTTACTATAAGTGCCCATGTGGTACAATATAGTAATGGAAAACAGGTATATAAAAACTTTCGATTCATCGCAAACTTCGTCGGTTTTTCATCTTTTCCAGACGCTCTGAAAAAGAAAATTCTAGTGCGTGTGAACTTACACGTACGCGCGCAAAGACATAAAAAGTGCGAAAACAGGAAAATAAACTCATGAACATGCGTTTTGCAAACATGCAATAGCATAAAAACGATTTTTGCAGAATGAATTTTTCGTTGTATTTTGAAAAAATATATGCACATATTAGCATAACAGCAAGAACTAATTTTTCTTGTTTCTTTTAGAATAAAGAATATGTGTGTGAACATATTAAAAATATTCGTTTTGTTTTTTCGATACTATAAAAAAATTGAGGCGAAATAAAGTGTTACGTCGTTTCCAACGTACAGAAATCGTTTAGTTAGTTCCGTTCTTATCGATTAGTATTTGAGTACACGCTGATGAGCTTCGTAAGGTCCTTCTTACGCCATTCCGAGTGGTCGTCGTAGTGAATAACTACGTACAAAGACGTGTGTAATATATCGTAGTGCAGGTCATTTAGTTGAGTTCGACTGAAGAGAGGTTTGACTGAACGCATTGTTTTTGTAAGCATGTCCGTGTGAGATTTTAGATCCACATTGCCTGGAGAAGATGAAAGATTCACCAATTATCCTGAAAATCGGAGTGTCGTTACATAAACGAGTTGAAATGCAGTGTATCCGATGTCAGCTTTTACTGCATTGCTGATACCGAGAAAAATGAGTGGAAGAGCGTCGGTCCATTGCGAAGCGTCTGCAGCTGGGAGTGAAGCTTTAAGCTCTCGGTGAAAGCGTTCTACCAACTCATTTGCTTGTGGGTGGTAGACAGTCGTTCTGAACTGTGTGATTTCTAATAATGTAGTCAGACAACGGAAAAGTCCAGATTCGAACTAGCGTCCACGTTCCTTAGTGATAGTTGAAGGGCAGTCGAAATTCGCTGCTCACAGATCGACGAAGGCGCGGATGGCTGCTTCATCAGTCACGTCCTTAATGGGTACTTCTTTTGACCACCTTGTGAATCTGTCCGAAAATGTTAAGAGATAAGAGTACCCATTTGAATCTGGTAAAGTTCATACCGAATTCAGATGAACGCGATCGAAACAGCCATTGGGAGTTTGAAAGAGTCTAATGGACACGTGTAATGTCTAACCACCCTGGATTTCTGACAGCTTACACAGACGCAAGTCAGATCTGTCTCGTCAATATTTATGTTAAGCTAACAAAATCACTTTGCTATGAGGCTTGATGGATGCACGAACACCTGGATGAGAAAGCTTATGCAGCATATTGAGGACGTTGCGCTGATAATGTTTCGGCGATCCCTACCTGTGGATGTGTTGCACAGCAGAGTCTATTTACTTGTTCCCATCTGTTTAATACGTAGTCTCAGGGTTGTGGAAGATAACTGGTGCCGAAGATCAGTGTTTTCTTGTTGAATCTGGGCGAATTTAAGTACGTCTATCCCTTGGAAACTGTTCAAGAAAGTTGTATAAGACAAAGAGCCTTCAACGGCATTTTTTCAGAAAGGTATATACAAAGCAAACTGCGAAATGTAGTCTGATTGTCGAGATTCTCGAGTGGAATGCTTGTCTGAAGATGAGCTTAACGAGAAGTTAGGATCCTTTTGGATGTTGAAAAAAAGTGAATTCTCGGCCTTCCACAGAGTTTCGAAAGTACCGTACAGCACAATACATGAGTAGGAATTCCCAGCGGAAAGCGCCATACCTCGACACTATGTCTAGCAACCGTCTCGAGAAAACTAACAAAGATTGTCGGGTGTAGGTAGTCAATTGTTGTAAGACTCCACCGATTTCCTATTTGGATGCGATATTAATGAGTGCTTTGGTGTTCTGATGTGTGAGAAATGTTATTTTGACAATCAGTTCCTTATCTATGAAGAATGTTTTTTCTCAATATCCTCCAAATTGATGGATTCCGTATATCCACGAAGTTGGTTTGTTAGAGGTTTCATAAGAGAGGCGCAATTTGGTATGGACAATTTATAGAAACTTACTAAGCCATTAAACGTGCGTAATTGCTTGATTTTGGTCGGTTCTGAGTAATCCAGAATGGTCGCTACCCTGCTTTTTAGAGGTCGGATGTTTTGATCATCAGTAGTATGTCCGAGAAAATCTAGAGAGTCAGTGCCGATTTGACATTTCTGAATGTTTACAGTAATGCCGTGATTTTATAGTAGTTCGAAAACAAGGTTCAGAAAATGGAGATGAGATTCTCTGTATTTACTGTAATGAAGCAGTCACTGAAATACTCATCTATGAACTTTAGACCTCAAAAATCTTCATGGATGAATCTCTGTAAAGTTTGTGCGTCATTTCTTAAGCCTAAAAGCATGCACGAAAATTCGTAGAGACCGAAACGAGTGATGATATCGGTTTCAGGAATGACGTCGGAAGCAGTGAGTATTCGGTTATACGTGTACAATCATGGTCTACGATGATATTAATAATGCTCTAATAATAGACATAATCATAAAATGGTAGATTTGTCATGACGTAACTGCCTAATCTATAAGATCTTACGTGGAAGTCACAACATTGTCTACACTGACTCAGCGTATCTTAACAATTACCAATATATGATGGAGAACGAGTTCAGGCAAAAGATAGAGCAATATATTTAATATAAGGTAACATTCAACAGGGACCACGCCCGCAAGGTCGAACCATGCAATCCAATCAACTCGAATTAACTCAATCCATTGTCTCCGCCTTATCCACCGTTGGTTTTTTCTCCGCATCACACGTTAAACATCCGTTTTCTCAGTTGTCTCGTGTCCAGCACTGAGAGTTGTGTGGTTAGAACCCAAAGCCACTATATATGCTTCAACCATATGGGTTTTCGAAAAAAAACAGTTGTACTGTTTGTGGTAGCTGTGAAATCGTGAATGTGAGGTGACGGTTAACGATCAGGAATGGTTTTCACATTTCGGCGCCAATATCCACCAATCAGACGCCAGGCGTTACTATCCTTTCTGGGGACTATATGTAACGGAGATGCCCACGGACTGTTTTATGGCCGAATGATTCCTGAGTCTATCATGTGGTTTAATTCGTTTTTGGCCAACCTCGGCTTTTCGGGAGCTAGTCGGCGCACTTTCGAGAACACAGGTTGTCCCGCAGCCGTGATGTAATGAGTAACATTGCATGTTACGCATGACGATTTTGGTAGCGTTTGGTATATCTCGAGGTACCTACCGAGTAATTGTTGATAGCATGGATCGTTCACGTGCCTTACTGTGACTGAGGAGGATCTACTACCAGAAGAAGCTACATATACATACAATTTAGAATTTCCGTTTACTAACCCTGATTTTCCCGTGTCGATTATGATGTTATAGCAAGTCTATGATTATGATTGAAACATCTGAAACAATGAAGACCCAGAGTGAGTAGGTTTGCGTAAACCCACGTTATGTTAAACATATCGCTTACCATATGTGGCAGTCGGTTTCATATTTGCCACTTGTAAGTTGAAAACTGCCTGACGCGGTCGGTCGTTAGGATTAGCTGGAAGAACGCTAACTTCTGAGCCGCTGTCGCCAAGGTAGCGAACATTTGTAGTCACATCAGTGATGTATAACAGACAGTTGTGTTCACTGGCTACGGTTGCCATTAACACGTGCCGACTGGGAAGCTTCCTGAAACGTTTCTCGTGTTGGTCGGCTTGGGACTAGGGAAACAGCACAGTTTTCTGCACTTTAGAGAAGATTTTCAGTACTGTTTATGGTACCAACACTAAGAAAGGTTATCTATCTCTCGTGACCTAGAGACTGATAATTTTGTGAAGTACCCCTCCAAGGAGTTTGAGATCATTTACAGTCACGACAAATACTAGGGTAACGTGTCGGAGAATGACGCAGTTTTGTGGGGCCATTTTGTATTGTTCAACGTTTTTCTTTGGTTGAATAGACCTCAGCGCCAGAATTCCTGGTGATCTCTAGAATTCGACCGATAAATGCAGCCAGCTCATCTACAGCGTTGTTTCGGAATGAGACAGACACTGCCTGCGTCTGTTACAGAAGCTCAGACAAGAAAATTTGTCTAAATAGGACTTCGTCGAAGGTCCGTTGACCAACGACCTATCGTTCGTAACAACATGTCTGTTGCGGAGCCATGTTTTAGACCAATGTTATTGAAGAGACGACCTAACCTTCACCGATCAGTTAGATCTCCACATTTAAGAATATACGTTTTTTAGAGTTTTACAAACTTCCGAAACATCACTAGTGAACATACAGAATGTAGCGTACCCGATGAATTCGTACCGGTAGTGCCTTCATTACCGCGAGAAAAGGTGCAGTTGGATAGGTCACGCCACGCTTGTGAAAGTAAGCTTCTGTGTAGTAGAACCAGGTTTCGATTTTGCCCTTGTAAGAATGGCATTAGCCGAAGTAAGTGTGGAGAAAGAGTCTAGATCCTTAATAGTTTAAGAGTTTGTTCAGTCATGATGAACATAGCAATGGACTGTGAAAAAAGTCACAGATGCGAACAAATATAACACTATATAAAAATTAAAGTAAAACGCAATATAGATTGCTCCGAAAATGAACAGACTCAAAGTTTGCGAATAGGTATACCAGATAAAGCCTGGCTCAACACTAAAGATGGCAACAACTTAATAAGCAACACCATTTTTAATCGGAACGCGAAAACCCTGTAATACAATGAAAAATTCATTCTGCAAAAATCGTTTTTATGCTATTGCATGTTTGCAAAACGCATGTTCATGAGTTTATTTTCCTGTTTTCGCACTTTTTATGTCTTTGCGCGCGTACGTGTAAGTTCACACGCACTAGAATTTTCTTTTTTTCTTTTTCAGAGCGTCTGGAAAAGATGAAAAACCGACGAAGTTTGCGATGAATCGAAAGTTTTTATATACCTGTTTTCCATTACTATATTGTACCACATGGGCACTTATAGTAAGAAAAGACGACCGGAAGCTGCTGAACATAGCAATTTATTAGAAGAGTGTTTACGAACGACAAACGCATTGTGTTTAAACGTCTGGCTGGGCACTTCTTAGGGTCATCACTACTGAGTTAAGTGAAAGTTTCTTCTACTCCATCAACAACCACTGGAACCATTTGGAAACTACTCATCCCAAGCATTATGCTTCTATCGATTATTGAACACGAAGCTGTAGCACCTCCCAACTAACCAAACGAACAAATAGTGCAAAGTGAGAGTTGGGGCCTGAAGCAGAATTTAATGTGGAAATTCTGCTTTAACATGCAAGACTCGCCCACTGAATGAACGGAAAAAGTCCTGAAGATGCCTCGTGCCGCACGTGTAATGGACGTTGGAACACGTACGCGCTACGATTTAACGTAAAACTATAAACTGTTGAACATACAGAGGAAAAATGACCATAAGGCTCAGGTACGACATAAAAGATGGATTGAGAACGATGAATAGATAAATACTACAAGTATTTGGAGTTTGACAACAACTAAACAAGTAACACCATTTTTAATCGGAACGCGATAAACCTGTAAAATCAGAGGTCAGAAGTAAAGAGGCTCAAAGATTAGTCTAATAGAATATCGGTATACCGAGAAGTGACTAGTCTAAGCTGGTTAGTGGTTGTAGGGAAAGAGAAGCACGGTGTACTCACTCGTGATCTAGAGCAGACGCATGACCGAGCGCATTCAGCCAGGTGAGTTCGTTAAAACTAATGCAGTCATCACCAAATTTTGAAGACTTACAGAGCTATTGATTTTGGAGATTTATTTACCGCTACAATTATGACTCCAGTCTACGCACTTTATCTCACTTTTCAGAAAAGCCAGAGCAGATTTGGACTCTTGCCTGACACGTGTGATATTAACTTTAATTCTATTAGAATCAAGGAGATCACTCTGAGTGCCACTATTCCCATCTAACAGAATATAAAGTCTAAAACCTTTTGAACCCAACCACCTGTTTTACGAAAGTAAATAACTGCGTTACACCTTGAGGTTAACCGCTCACTGAAAAGAGTCAATTTGAACTTAACTTGTGTAACGGGTTGGATCTCTTGGTTCTAGTTTTGATTCTAAGTTTGTTTTAATATGAGGCTTGTGTTATTTCTAGTTGTTGTTCATTTCTCTCCCTAGTAAGAAGCAAGTGCATTGTGCGCGCTTACTGGGTCATCGATCCACCTTTTCTTATGTTTTCATCTCCAGCTTTAATGCTACACTGCATGCTCCTTTTATACACAAAGTACCCTCTGGCTTGACACGAATCAATACACTAGACTCTATTAGTGTTGCTAGTTGTTACAAGTCACTTCTTTTACTCGGCGTAAGTGCATTTTTCAAAAGGACGGTAGCATTTGTCACAGGCTTAACTTCTTTCAGATCTGTGTTTTCTGTTCTTGTTCGATATGCTTGAAGAGCTTATGGCTTAATCTTACTGGTTGAAGTGTACTATCCTGATGACCTAGGGCGACTTATCAGCCTTGTTAGGAAACGCTACCTAGTTATATAACAATTGACAATGTAAATTGGTGGTATATATATATATATATATATATATATATATATATATATATATATATATATATATATAATTTAGTGTTATAACGTTCATCGGTTTTGGCACCGAGCAGTATCCCAGCCCTCACATAAATCGAATGATTTATGTGGTGCATATCTATCTGGTGCCTCTTTATACCAATGTTTGTGTTTAAATAAATAAATAAATATAATAGTAGAATAGCAGTTTTGATCTAAATAATTAACTCTCACATGTCAAATTATCCGTTATAGTAAAAGACATAAGTCAGGTTTGCATATTAGAACTCGGACTAGCGCTGTTGTTTAGATTGATCACCCTACAGAGTTTTGGTCACTGACTCTCAATGACATCAGTTGTCACTTAAAATTGTTGTAGTCAGATATTAAGGATTAAAATGTGGCTTTTTGTTGGTTTTAAACGTTAGTATCCATGTTCTCGTAATAAGTCTATAACAGCTACAATGAAGTGCTTTTTCACTCTTCAATTGAAAAGAACAACGGGCTTGAAATTCAGAGCAAGAGTAGTAAAGGAAAGTTATCACCTATCTTTATCTAAACTCTCTTGACTAAACACTGTATCACATCAAGTACTTCAGCACATATTTCATCTTAGGAGCAGGTGTGTCCTGTTATTTTGCTCAACCACCACTTAACGTGGACTTTTTGGTTGGAAACATTTTATGACTAAACCATTGTCAATATTACTTAGTTAATATTAAAATGCTAGTTATCTACTATTACATTTGCAATTTCTCACGATATACTTGAGGTGTTATCTTAATTTTGATCGGTTAGCTCAGAGCCTCCAATATACCATACTTTTTCTTTGCAGCTAACTAGTAATAAAGACTTGTGTAGTAACAACCTTGTTTATTTATGCTCCTAATCATATATATATATGTATATATATATATTGATATCTCATCTTGGTATAGCTACATCATCAGTTGGTAACTGAGTGAATGTCATAAGATACCTGACTTGAGTAGAATTACGTATTTGATGGCTGGAAAAATTAGGTCTTTATAGGCGTACGGTATGTGGTGGTACAGTACTGCCCGAAAAAGCACCTAATTCTTGTACCACTTAATCACTGCTCTTGTGATAGGGGCCGACCATTTAAACATTATAACACGCACTGGAAAGCCATTTTCACAGTAATAAATGCTAGTTTATAAGTTACGGAATTTTACGAAACAAACCAAAATGAATTATTTTTCAGTTACAAGAGGATTAGAGCAAAATTCGCACCTATTATGAACCATGTTTCGATGATAGCGGTTAAGTATTTTCTGTAATGTTTAATTCACATCAGTATGAACCTGGCTTATTTTGTCGTAATTTGTCGGGGTAGAATCATTGCCCATTAATGGTCACTGCTTGGGGTAATAGTTTAATTCCGATGAGAATCTGTTTGGTTACAGTAAGAAGCTGTAAATGGGTATTTCAGTTAACACTAAATCATAACAATTAACGTGAATGGATTATCATGCTTGGATGGATATCTCTTGTAGGTAAATTTTTCGTAATTTGTTTATTAATAAAGACGTTAGATATGTTTAACTCATTGCACTTCTGTGTGAGTATCGGTGATTAAACGTATTCTGTTCGTTCAGACTTTTATTGGTACATCAGATTATTATTACTATTATTATGTGTAAGTGAAAGTAAGGTATGATTGGTCGTTAAGCGTGAACAAACAGCCACAGCGTATGGTCTATTAAATATGTAGTTTTCCTTTTTATCATTGATTTCTACTTTGGACTGACTGTGTCCTTCCTGTAGCTATTCTAGGACTACTGTTGATCTCCAGCCTGGTTAAAGGAGAAGGCTTTGACAGCTCCATCCAATAGAAAACACTAAAAAATGTTCCGCACCCTTAGGGAGTCGTTCTGATGCTATCCAAAGAAGCACGAACTGCACTTATAAGATCAAGAGGCTTCAATAGATCCCAGCGAAGTGCTCAGGAAGGGACCCGACCATCCTGATGAGAGATTTAAACGCCAAAGTCAGAATAGACGACACTGGGTATGAATATATCATGGGACGATAAGGACTGGAAGAGATGAACGAAAATAGTGAGAAATTAGCAAGTCTATTTGCATCCAAGAAAATGGTTATATATGGCAGTATGTTCCCTTATAAACGCATACACAAAGTTACATGGATGTTATCGGATTTTTAACGAGTTGAAAACCTATTTTCGGTCATGGCTACTCATAATTATATACCGTTGACCAATGTACAGTTAGGATAATAAACGTTAACTATGTTTATAATCATGTCATTTAGTTGCGTTTGGTAGCAGTATAATGCAGGTTGTAAATCTGTTAATAAATTATTTCCTTATTCAACAAACTGAACATGAGTGGCACAATATTCTCCCACAAACGCACACACAATGCTACATGGGTCTCACCGGGTCACACTACACATAACCAGATCGTATTTGCACCAATAAAAATTCACAAGGTCAGTGGAAGACGTGAGAAGTAGGAGAGGAGCTTAGATAACTTCAGCTCACCACCTGGTGGTTGCCACGATGAAGCTGAAGCTGAATGAGCACTGGACAACTAGGCAAACAGCAGTACAAAGGTTCAATACAGCCTTCCTTTGACACTGACAAACTCAACAAATTTGAGATAGCTCTCAACAACAGGTTCCAAACCTTACAAGGTATACTGGAAGATGATACTGCTATGGAGGACAATTGGAAACGGGTCAAAGAAGCACTAACTTTAACGTGTCAGAAGGTACTGGGCCTCAACAAGCGTCATAAAGAATGAAGAACAAATAGAGTTCGTCACTATACATCAACTTCATTAACTATGAGAAAGTATTTGACGATATGGGTAAGAGAGCCTTATGGGACCTTCGGCACTATGAAGTAAGTAGCTGAGATCGTCAACAACATCCAGAATTCATACGATGGACTACACTGCAAAGTGGCGTATGGAGAACAGCTGACAGATGCGTTCCAAGTGAGGACCGGAGTCAGACAAGGCTGTTTACTCACCCCAACTTCTATCTGAAGAGGAAATTAGGAAAGGACTCTGCGGGTGAAAAGGACAAATATTGAAGAAATCATCAAACTGCATCACGAGGCAAGCACAAACGTGGAATCCTTAAGGGAAACTGAAAAGAGGAATACAAAGGGAACACACTGATCGAGAATTGGAAGCAGATGTGAAAAGGAAAGAATTTAAAAGGATTGCTCAGGACAGACTTGGCTGGAGAATGCTGGTGAACGGCCTATGCTCCTTCACGTGAGGTAACAAGCATGTGTAAGTACTCACTGTGAGTGACGGCTTGTAATTGTATTGAATAAAGTATTCTCTATTGTTAATCTGGCTCTCCATTTTGGGTCACGAATCTTGGTTTTGATATAATGTGATTAGCCTTAATAATGTATTATCGTAACATATGTGTAAAGAAAAAACTATTTTAAACCATCCGTTATATCATATTATTGAATATTTCACTCTGAGAATATTATTAGTTCACATCGTGGTATAGTATTGAGCACAGTCTGTGCGTCCGCTTAGAAATATGCAGTGATTATTTACTTTCTCCTAGTGTTACGCTTTTTTTCAAATAAATTGATAAACATAGTTCATAATCCAGTCAGTCAGTGAGCTACAATGTAGGACCAGGCACATATATGCATCGGTCCAAGTTACCATACCTCATTAACACAATAAGATGGACACCGGATTCATAAAAGTAGTTCATAATCTAGCTAGAAAACCACTTAATAACTGTGTTCTTCTTTTCAATTTGCTTATTGTATTGGTTTGATTGAATTAAAACTAGGTTTATTTAATAAGGTACTTCTTAAAATAACTCTGTCATTACTAAAACAACTAGTTTGTTGATTATTTATTACTTAGGTTCCATTTCTGCTGATATTTCGTAATATCAATGAAAACAAATGAGGAAACATTGTATTAAAAGTAAAAATGGTGGATTGATTTCCTATAAAAAATCTAAAGCAAAGGAGTTAGTTAATAATGCCAACAAAATATCTTGTTTAATAAAGGAACTCAATATATCATTAGAAATTCCTGACTATTTAAATGTAAATAATGCTATCACTGTTGAATGTATAAAAGCATCTAAAGCTGATGTAGCAATTATTGATGAATTAATGCAACTACTTCAAGAAAATATGCAAGTAACTATTGTTGTTTGTTTTGTTTTAAGAAATAAACAATTTGTTTAGAGTTTGTATATTTTATCATCATGGGGTTGGAATACCGAAGCTAAACGAGCTGAAGCATTTTCATCAAAATCTTGGTTAATTATATGTCGTTGTCAAACTTCTGATATTCAGTCCATAGCTGGATTTGTTAGTTTTCGGTTTGAATGTGAAGAAGAACATCCTGTGTTATATTGTTATGAAATCCAATTATACCCACAATTTCGTCATTTACATGTTGGAACATTTTTAATGAATATATTATTATCTATTTCATTGGCATTGAATATGCATCGTGTCATGTTGACAGTGTTCAAGTCGAATAAAAGTGCTATTAAGTTTTTTGAGAAATTAGGATTTGAAACTGACGTAACAGATCCTTCTATGTTCAAAGGAGTTAAAACTGTTGACTATAGAATTCTGTCCAAATTAACTGTTAAATGAAATTTGAATTCTGGAAGTCAAGTTACTTCATATCTACGAACTTAAACTATAAATCTTTAGAAAGTCATTTTTATATGTATTTTTATTGCTCAGTTTAAAATACAATCATAAACTTTTGTTACATTTTTCTATATCAAATGTTAAGGTTTCTTTGATTTCCTACAAATATTGGAACCAACCCATGCTAGAAAGATGGAAAACACTGACACATTTTAGTCCTATAAATGAACAACGAAGTCCTGAGTAATTCTGTGACAATATTTTTTGCATTTTCAATTAATTCACTCATCAGTTACTTGAGCATGAGTCAGACTCTAAGTATGTGGGCTAGTGACTCTACCAGTCAGTCAGTCAGCTACAACGTAGGACCAGGCACATATATGCATCGGTCCAAGTTGCCATACCTCATTAGCACAACAAGATGAACACCAGATTCATAGAATATATAAAAGAAAGATTGCAATAAGGATATAGTACAGGAAGAAGGAATTAGTTCGTAGAAAGAAAGATATGAAGCGGTTTTAATCTCACCGTCACGGTTTAAGGGAAGACAAAGAGTGTATACACCTTAGCCATTATGATCGATTCTGAGCCATGTCACCCAGAGTATCCAACCATTGGTTACGATAGTCACGCGGACCCCAGCCAAGTAGTCTGCATCTACCAACATGGCTAAGACTAGAAGTTAGTGACTTCAAGCACTGGCCGCCCCTAACTTTCTTCCAACCGTCCGCAACACCAATCAGCATTGCGCGTCGTGGTAGTCGGTGTTCAGGCATGCGTAACACGTGGCCAAACCATCTCAGTCGATAAAGTTTTACAATCTCATCAACTGATTTACCATCATCCCCTAATACCGTGCGTCCAACCTCTACCTACTTGTCCAAAACAGTAGAGTAGGGTTCGAACCTAGGACCTACTAGTTGAAGGTTAAATGCCTTAATCATTAATCCTGCGCTCCACAATATTTAGTTTTGTGATGTATAATATTGCTTAGTTTCAATAAACACCAATTGACGAAAACACTCGTAAAGGGATCTTTACTAAAACACTAATACATAAAAAATATTCTTTTCAATATGTTCTCATCAGATTTTACGGTTGCGCATCGAAAGTGATACTCCGAACGAATGTTCAAGTTTAGAGAAAATACATCTTTTAAAATCGTAGCTTTTGTGGATAGTATAGTAATTTTAATAGTTGAAATCATAAGCCAATTGAAGCTAGACCACCATGGAGAACCTGGAAGCACTAGGTGGACGTTTCACCTCTAGATCACTGAGCCCGGATTAGAGGTTAAGCGTTCGCGCGCGACACTGGTAGGTCCTGGATTCGAATCTCGCAAGGTGGGATCGTGGATGCGCACTGCTGAGGAGTCCCACAATAGGACGAGACGGCCATCCAGTGCTTCCAGGTTTTCCATGGTAGTCTAGCTTCAATTGACTCATGATTTCATCTACTAGAATTTACGATTGTTTGTAAAATTAGGTTTTTGATATTAAAGTGACTAGGATTCAGTGTTAATTTCATTAGGTTCATATATTAAATGAGATTATGGGATTACTAACCACAATAAATGTCGATAATAATGTATTTGCAAATCGGATTAATTAGTTTTTCGAGATCTACATAATATATGAAATGATATAAGTCATATGGAATGAGTGCCATCTAAATTCTTCATATAGTTAGAATATTTATAATGATATTGATAGATAATACAAAGGTGTGTGAATAATGATAATTTTTAGGACCACAAACTGACCTAAGTTATGCAACCGTTCAGTGTTTGCTTAGCGTAGGTCTATTCGTAATCTTAATAACATGTAACAATCTTCCCAAAACCCCCATACTAATAAAGTATGAAGATCAAAATGGATAATATGTATATTCTCTTAAGACAATTACCAACTTATTGAACTTGGGATTAACTAAGCTAGGAAAATTGGTTGAATATATTATTTCAAGCACATTGGTAGTAAATCTAAACTAGAAGTAAAATAGGATAGTTGGAAACAATGCCGAAAGCGATGGGTAACTGAGAAATGTCAAAAGAAACGAATGATGTCAGAGAAGGTAAAGTATATAAGAACAGTTAAACATGAATGTATAGACGCTATAGTAAACTTTTTTAAACCATACGACCTAAAATGATCAACAGTTGGTCGAAATTATTACATAAGACAGCCCTAGAGTTCAGATCCTCAGTCACGGCTCAGACAAACCGTCAGTGATTTGTGAACTGACCGTGGTCTCATCATTCTCAATTTTTTTAGACTACTCCAAGGTCGAATCGACCCATCGTGGTAGCTAGTGACTGGTGGAGGGTATATATCAAATTCCAAACAATTGCAAGTCTAATACTTATTTTTAGTTATATATCTACTTCACTTGAATAGACGAAAAAGTTCGAGTAGCATGGAATTGAAGAAGACAGCTCGTTATGTAAACTGGAGTAATTGTTCACAAGCTTTTGGTACAGAACAGTTTTGAGTGAAGAGTTATCAGCTAAGTGATGTCCTCACTTTGAACTACATTCAGTAATGAAATCGAGAAAGAAATTTCATGTGCAGAAACAAAATACTCGGATTGCGAAATTTGGCTGGCAACCCATAATTCCTCTAGAAATGAAGACCACAGAGATGATGGAACTTGTTGAATTTGTTTTAAATATTTTGAACTATAACCTGTTTCTCTAGACTTTTTGATACTGATACTACCACTCGTACTACTTTAGTATCCGTCTTACTGTGTTAACATCGTATGCAAAATTAAGCTGACATACATTTATGCCAAGCGTCTATGTTTAGATTGACTAACTTATGAGTCGTTTTAAACTAGTGAGAAAGAGACTACCTTCCATTACTTCCAGGTTTTCATTAGTTTTGGAGCCTACCTCGATACGCGATGTTGGTTGATGTAAGAGTAGGTTAAAAGAACTCTATGGACAACCATCTTGAGACCTGATATCAGTTGTTCTCGATATCAGCCCACGAAGTCACTAACTACTGAGCTGAGCTTTGTAGGTAGGTTCAGACTACGTAGGTGGAATCAGTGCGATTATCATGGCTAATAGTTAGAAATTGGGTTGCATAACGCAGAATCGGTCTCATCGGTGCAAACATACTCACTGGTCGACTTGGAATACTCATAGTTTCTATTCCACAAACTCACTCTTTTTAGAAATGTATTGCCTGTCCCTAATCTTTTCTATAACTACTGATGTTGCTGCTACTTCTAATACTCTGGTATTTGTCTTGATAGTTTCATCTAGCTAAGCTGACGACTGTATGGCCTTCCCAAAATTGTAAATTCAACAATCTGTTCACGTTTCAAAGACTAATAGCAAACAATCATGATTTTTCAAAAGGAAAAGTTTATTCAGTTTACAAACAGAATGGCTTTATAAATAATTTCAAAATTGTAATATTACAGTAGTCCATCATGAACACGTAGGTCCTATTGGTTTGTATTTTTATTCTGGTCTCCTGGATCTTAAGCCCTTTGATGGATTTTTAATCCAAATCCCACATGTGCTTAAAATAATCAATAAAACGTAACCATATCAATAATGTCAATCCAGAATTTACAACAAAAAAAAACAAAAAAGCCTACTGAAATTTTAGCAATTAGCTATGGATAGAATTCTTAAGGAAATCATTTTCTTTACTGACAATTTAACTCTAATCATTCAATTTAATGGATATGGAGGGTCCACCTAGGGGAGTTAATAAACCCTGATTCCTGAGGGAACAAATAGCGTGTGAACCAATTATTGGTCACCGGCTATCATGTGATTGCATCTCCTGATGTTGCTCCATTGCCTTGTGGATTAGACCTTTCGGTCGAAGGCCCCTGATATGGCCCCCTAACAAAACCACCTGCTTCGGTCTGGGCACCCGGGAAGTATCACAGCCCACACACAAATCAAGTGACGTATTCGGTGCCCCTCTGTGCCAGTATTTGTCTCCAAACACTAATTTTCCTGATTACTGCTTATACTCTTATTACCTCTACCACTACGGGATTTGAATCGACCACTGCATCTGTGTGTTAAAGTGGTGTGGCAACTCGAATTGATGTACGTACGTACGAAGTTCTACGTTGTTACTGACTGACTGACTTATGTGTTCAAATAAATAAATAATAAAATCATTCAATTTAGTATTCAGGGAAATTTATTCTGTTTGATTTTTTGTACTTTTTTATTATCTAACTCTCACTAATTCGGTAATATATATTAAAATTGTATGACTAGAACACAACAGTATTAAATCCAAAATGCCAGTCTTTTTCTGGAAATAACTTCTGCTGATTAACTGGCTGTGAACAAGTGATATTACATAATACTGTAAAATTGTCACAGTTTATCTGGTCTATCTTGATTAGTTCCGTTATTCTAGTCATGTAATAACAATCATTATGATTGTCTCTCGAATTAATAGTCATTGTTTATTTATACACAAATTCAAGATCACAAAGCTGAAATCGTTAGTTTATTTGTGTGATTCAGTGGGATACTTAAAATCCTCAAATCTTCCAGGTAATATGCTAGGTATTATTGTAATTGTTTGATGTAGTTGTGGTAGTGTAAGTTGGGGATTCTGGTGATCGACTGGATCATGAAGACGTCGACATTTGAAGGGAAACGCTGGATACAGTGGACATCTTGGATGCAGCTGGACGATCTAGACTTCTCAGATGATCTGGCCCTCCTATTGCACATGCGACAGCAAATAGAGGAGAAAACGACCAGTGTAGCAGCAGCCTCAGCAGCAGTAGGTCTCAATATACACAAAGGGAAAAGCAAGATTCTCCGATACAACACAGCATGCACCAATCCAGTCACAATTGACGGAGAAGATTTGGAAGATGTTAAAACCCTTACATATTTGGGCAGCATCATTGATGAACATGGTAGATCTGATGCAGACGTGAAAGCACGGATCGGTAAAGCAAGAGCAGCATATCTGTAACTCAAAGCAACTGTCAAACAACACCAAGGTCAGAATTTTCAATACAAATGTCAAGACAGTGCTACTGTATGGGGCGGATACCTGGAGAACTACGGAAACCATCATCCAGAAGATACAAGTGTTTATTAACAGTTGTATACGCAAA